CAAATTGAGCAGGGCACTGCAGCGGCAGTATCAAATGAGCAGGGCACTGCAGCGGCGGTATCAAATGAGCAGGGCACTGCAGCGGCGGTATTAAATTAAGCAGGGCAATGCAGCTGCAGTATCAAATGAGCGGGGCGCTGCGGCGGCAGTATCGAATGAAGCGGGCACTGCGGCGGCATTATCAAATGGAGCGGGCACTGCTGTGACAGTATCAAATTAAGCAGGGCATTTCAGCGGCCAGTATGAACATAGCGTCGAGTCTATGAGCGGTATGGAGTGAGTGGTACCCTGTGCGGAGAATGTGGAGCGTCCGGGCTTGGAGGATGAGAGCACTTAATTCCTTTGATCAAAAGAGATGTTTGAGAATTGTTTATTTCAGGAGTAGTACTATGGATTTGACCTCAGGATTTTATAATGTCCCACTACATGAGGACGACAGAAAGTATACAGCGTTCACAACACCAGTGGGGTTGCACGAATACAATAGGCTTCCTCAAGGCCTCTGTAACTCACCAGCGAGCTTTATGCGAATGATGACTAAGATCTTCGGTGAACAGAATTTTTTGTCACTGTTGTGCTATCTGGACGATTTAATGGTTTTTGCACCTAACGAAGAAGTTGCATTGCAGAGGCTAGAGATGGTTTTCGGTATGTTGAAAAAGCACAATTTGAAATTATCGCCGAAGAAATGCCACTTTTTAAGACGCTCTTTAAAATTCCTCGGTCACTTGATTACAGAGAGAGGTGTGTCTACGGACCCTGGAAAAGTTGAAGCAATTACTAAAATTACTTCTGCGGATTTGATGTGCTCAGATGGTGTCACCCCATCAGTTAAGAAAATCCAGTCTTTTCTTGGCCTCGTTATGTGGTACCAATGCTTCATTGAGAATTGTTCGTCTCTTGCTCGACCGCTTTTTGCTCTGACCAGCGGAGTTAGGAAAGCTAGAGGTGTTGGACGCAAAGGGGTTCCTGCATCAAAAAACTCACTCCTGACGACTGGTCTCCAGCTTGTGAGGCGGCTTTGTCAGCATTAAAGGAAACTCTCTTGTCCAATGTTATTGTTGCGCATCCTGACATTTCCAGACCCTTTATTCTTGCCACTGACGCTTCATCTGAGGGATTGGGCGCCGTGCTTTCGCAACTGAGTCCTGGGGAAAGCAGGGCTCGACCCAGTGCATTCGTGAGTAAGTCACTATCCAGGGCGCAAGCTAGATATCCAGCACATCGACTTGAGTTTCTCGCCCTCAAATGGGCCGTATGTGATAAATTTAGCCACTGGCTAAAAGGACATCGGTTCACAGCTTGGACAGATAATAATCCCTTGACGCATATCTTGACCAAACCTAGGCTTGACGCCTGTGAACAAAGATGGGTGGCCAAACTCGCTGCCTTTGAGTTTGACATCAAATATGTTCCAGGGCCTAAGAACTCAATTGCTGATGCCTTGAGCAGGCAGCCTTTTGTCAACGGTCGTGTCAGTCACCGCATAGTAAGGGAACCTTATGAGAAGCTGCTGGCGGAGTCAAGTAACCATACCTGTGCTGCTGTCCAGGATGTTTTCCGGTTGTCAAACGCCAGTCAGAGAGTGCTTGACAGTATAGAGGCCCCAGCGAGTGCTTGTGAGCAGTTAGCAGTCAAATTAGACACGGATGCGCCTGGGAGCTTTTCGAGTGCGGACGTGGCTGCTGTCTTTTCTAATCACCTTTCTTGGGACGACGGAACACAAACATGGGCCATTCCTTTAGCTGGATTTGTCCAACAGATCGCAGATGTTGGGTTTGATGCCCTTCCTTCGTACTCTCGTCAAGAACTGAGAGACAAACAGCTTGAGGATGAACATTTGCGGAGGGTGATGTTCTATGTTGCACGCACCTGAAGAACACGCTCAACCAAACACTGGACATGAACATCCACACAAACACACACATGAAGAACACGTTCAACCAAACACTGGACATGAACATCCACACAAACACACAGATGAAGAACATGCTCATGTAACGGGGAAAAGAAACTTGTAATGAATTGTGCCAAAATGATTGTTCATATTGCAAAATAATTCTAAGATATTAATTGAATAGAATGTATTAAATGCATCTAAAAGAAAGGGATATGGGGACACCTACAGGTGACTAAGGTAACCTATCAGTGGAATTGGCCATTTTCTCCTCAGTCGCATGAAAGCCGTTGAGGAGAATGGTAGGTGTAAAATCTCTCCGGTCGAACAGAAATAAAATGATGTCAGAGATGATTTTATTTCTCTTTAAGGTCATAATTGTTATTTTAAAAGTATTTTATTTAATATTTGAGTCATAAGAGATATAGAGTTGACGGACAATTGATGTTTTATTCCGAACGCACTGTCGAGTGCATTAGGAGCACATGGTATTCGTTGTGTTTCTGTCTCTGTCTTTTCTCGTTGTTTATTTTCACATGTATATTTATTTTTGACAGTTATGAGACCGGATGAGCTGTATTTCATGTCTGTTTGGTGTCATTTCATATATTCCAGGTATGATGTACTAATGTTCTTATGATGTTATATTTTCTATGTTCAGAAAACAACAGAAAAAGAAATTGAGCTCTTAATTATGGAAAAAACTGATTTATTGTTTGTTGAACTGGTAAATCAGTCGCATGAAAGCCGTTGAGGAGAATGTTATGAGACCGGATGAGCTGTATTTCATGTTTGTTTGGTGTCATTTCATATATTCCAGTAAATGCGATGAGTGAGCTCAGCCTATGTCTCCGTGTTGTCCTTTCCAGAAGGGTCGAAAGAAAGAATCAGAAAAGTGGGGTTACACTTGGATGTTTCTGTGGTTGTGTTTACATTGTTCTCCCTGTGTGTTGGATTATCTTTTTGTGTTTTTGGATTACTTATTATTTTATTAATACACATCACTGCCTGCACTTGGATCCTGCCTCTCCTTTTCCTTGCATCGACCTGTTACAATTAAATTCTGAATTTGAGTTTATCAATTTTGTAAAGAGCATGTAAATGAGCAAATTGGCCTGTAGGTTCATTGAGTTTTTTTAGGTTTTGTGAGAAAGAGTGAGAAATTAATTTGTCATTTGAAAGATAATTTAATTGAAGGTATTCTTTGTCAAAGCAATGATAAATAATTCACCGTTTATCCCACATAGTTGCTGTTGTGCTTCACTGTCTGAAGAGTTTTGAAAAAGTGACCCATGAATTGAGAAATGGAGCGTAGTGGTTGTAAAAAAAAAACTCTCATATAGTTTCATCTCACATATTATGTTTATATTTGAAACCAGCAAGTAGCCAGGTTTTCATCAATACATTTTTGTGCATATTTTGTGATACTGGATGAAAAAATAAATAAATGCTGGACAAAAATACCAAGATGTGAATCACATATCTGACCAATATTCAAATCTGTCTAAAGTCTCTATAGTGGTCGTCTTCACATGTGAAACTCCAGCCATTGCTGATATCGTGTTTCTGGTCGATGGATCGTTGAGTATCAGCCGTTTGAACTTCAAAACTGTGAAGATCTTTCTGGGAATGTTTGTCAGGGCCTTCGAGGTTGGATCAGACCAAACACGCATTGGTACGTCTGGGGTGTTTTTAGTTGCAACACACGGGACATTTACATGCAGCTAGATCAACAGGAGAAGAACGTCTCGGGTTACTTGACTGTAACCCTGTTCCCTGAAAAAGCGGGAACGAGATGCTGCGTTCAATAACGCTTATGAGAACATTCTTTGACCAGTTGTGAAGAATGTGTGTCAAACACGCCAAGAATTGGCTTAAATAACCTCGGTAGGTGACGTCATTAATTACATGCACCTGAGAGGTTATAAATACACTTGAAACGGACACATCCTCAGGTTCACCTTTGTCTGAAAGGACGTCCGGGCACGCTAACAGTGCAGCATTGAGGCGCAGCATCTCGTTCCCGCTTTTTCAGGGAACAGGGTTACAGTCAAGTAACCCGAGATGTTCCCTATCAAAAGCTACTCTCAATGCTGCGTTCAATAACGCTTATGGGAACGAGAATACCAACGCCACCATACTGGAAGTGTCTGGACCCCCCCAAGGTTGTGTAGTGTGTGCGCACAAGCATTGAAGAGGTCTCAGACGTGACTCTGGGATGTTGACTGAAGGACCCGTGAGCCCGGAGTAGCACGGACATCCAAACTATAGAATCTGACAAATGTGTGCGGAGAGGACCAGCCTGCCGCATCACACACTTGCTGCAAAGGAACACCTCTTGCTAAAGCCGTAGAAGATGCAACCCCCCTGGTTGAATCGGCCCTAACTCCTAGAGGCGAAGCTTGACCACACGCCTTGTAGGCTAGGGCAATAGCATCCCTCACCTAATGTGACATAGTTTGCTTAGTGGCAGCCGCCCCCCAGTTGCGGCCCCCATAGCATATGAAAAGCTGCTCCGACTTACGCTACTGGCTGGTGCCGTGGACGTAAATCTGAAGAGCATGTACTGGACACAGTAAGTGAAGTCTTTCCTGCTCCAGTGTCGTGAACGGCGGAGGGCAGAAGGCTTCAAGAACGACCGGATGTATGGTTGAGAATGGAACTTTCGGAAGATAATTAGGGTGAGGATGCAAAATAGCTTTGACCAGCCCAGGGGCAAAGTCTAGGCAGGATGGTGAGACTGACAGAGCCTGCAAATCCACAATTCTCTTCAGAGAAGTAATAGCCATTAGGAAAACCATCTTTAGGGTCAGAAACCTGACAGGTGCTGACTCTAGTGGTTCGAAAGGGGTGTCGACCAGACCCTCGAGCACTATAGCTAAATCCCACGAAGGGACTGTCGCTCTAGTGGGCAGCCTCAACCGCTTGGCTCCACGAACGAAGCGGGCGACTAAAGGGTGCTTTCCCACAGAAACCCCATCAATCAGAACATGGCAAGCCGAAATGGCGGCCACATAGATTCTGAGAGTACCAGGACATGTGCCTGAGGACAGTTTCTCTTGCATAAACCCCAGCACTGGAACAATTTGGCAGTGAACTGGGTCTGAATGGTGTGTCATACACCACCTTTCGAAAACACGCCATCTGAGGGCATAACTTCTTCTAGTGGAGGGAGCCCTAGCACTTAGAAAAGTCTCTACTACATCGGCTGGAAGCTCAGCTTCTCTTAGTTGGTCCTCCTCAGAGGCCAGACATGAGTTCGGGCCGGGGATGCAATACTGTCCCGTGCGCCTGAGACAGAAGATCTCTCCTGACCGGAATCACCCACGGCGAGCCGTCGAGGAGGGATATTAGATCTGAGAACCACACTCTGGTCGGCCAACGAGGCGCTATCAGAAAGAGGCGAGACCCTTGTTGACGGACCTTGGCCAGGAAATGCGTAAAGACGCAGTCTGGGCCACATATGGGCCATCGTGTCCAGACCCAGGGGAGCTGGAGGAGTCAGAGAGAAGTAGAGGGGACATTGTGCTGTCTCCTGTGAAGCAAAGAGGTCCACCTCTGCTTCGTAAAATCTTTCCCAGATTTGACTGACTACTTCGGGATGGAGTTTCCATTCCCCATGTGTCACAGCTTGTCTGGACAGCAAGTCTGCTCCCACATTCATATGCCCCGGAATGTAAATCTCTCTGAGGGACAGGAACTTGTCATGTGCCCAAAGCAGAACCTGCTGCGCTAGTTTGTTGAGACGGCGCGACCGCAGTCCGCCCTGGCGATTTATGTAAGAGACCACCGCAGTGTTGTCCACCCGCACTAGGACATGGTAGCCTCTTAACTGCTGTAGGAAGTATTTCAGGGCCCGAAATACAGCCATCATTTCGAGGCAATTGATGTGCCATTCGAGAAGGTGACAAATCCAGATCCCTTGGGTTGGATGGCCATCTAAGACCGCACCCCAGCCCGAGAGGGAAGCGTCTGTCGTTAGCATCTTGCGACGACAACACGGTCCTAGAGTGGGACCCAAAGTCAGAAACCAGGGTCTGAACCACATAGAAAGGTTATGAAGCCCCTGGCGCGTAACCCTTATTTGCCTCTGGGGATTGGCCCTTGGATGAAATCCCCTGGCTCTGACCCAGACAGCAACATAGTGTTGGCCCAGATCCGGCCCACAACTGGCCCATGTGAAATCCATGCGGGCCAGATGTGGGCCGGATCTGGGCCGAAACTGTCTGCTGTCTGGG